GAAAATATTGTCATTCAGACGATTATTAAGTTTGAATATTTAATATATATCAGATTATAATATTTCATCTTACTAAATAATATGATAACTGAGTAATAGTTTATCAGTATTATTAAAACAATAGATCAGAAAAAATTGAAGATGAACCAAATAAAAATGCATTTCATATATCTTATCATCTGCTTTAGCACACAGTAAGTCTTTTATTTTTATAAATAGGTGAGTTTTGTATCATTTTCTTTAGTGTATAAAATTTACCTCAATGTTTTGGTATAAACTAGTTACCAATTGAAGTAGACGATGGAAATACTACGAATTCAAAATTTACTGCAATGGCATATGAAGATTAAATTGATTACTTTGCAATAGGAGGAGTCTATGGAAATCATATGATAACTGGTCTCTATGTAGCATGAAACAATTTAAATAGGTTTATATGGATGTTTGGATTTAATTATGAGTTACTAACAACTTTTCCATCTTTGAGTCAAGTCGAAGTAATGAGTTTTTAAAAATCTAATCATATCATCAGTTTAATAAGATCTGAATAAATTTCAAATACTACATATTTATAAGAAAGAAACTTAGTAATCATGAAATAGAATATTGAAGGAGGAATCGAAAAGAAGGTTTAAATAAATAGTGTTTACACCTTTAAAATTCAATTAAATAATATCTTAGCTATTGATCAAATATCTGGGAACATATACCTAGGCATATAAATCATAGAAGAAAATGTGTAATTATTAGTTATCTCTGAAAATCTTGAGAATATAATTGAAAAACAAAAATTCTAAAAAGAAATATTTATTACAGCTCTTTTATACATTCCTACTTTACAAAAAATTTATATGGCTGGAGTAGAAATTAAAGATAACAATGATTTCGGTCTACTTTTTAAAAGTTATTAGCCTGCATTAGAATTTTAAACACCAATCATTAGTGCTAATGCTTTAGTAAATTACAATGTCATTATTCCGCTTATCGAATAAAGTGAAGGTTATATAGTAGCTTGCATGGAAAGTTAGGGCACTGCTAATTCAATTTTAGGAATGCTAATCCATTATTAGCAAATGAATGAAACTCTAATATTTTATAAAGATGCAAGTACTAGTTATTTTCAAAAGAGAGGATTAGCATGTTTAGGAATAAGAATTGCAGCCAAGAATGATATTTGGGTACTCTATTAGGCTACAATTATTGATGGAGGTGATATTTTCATTATCAAGATAGTTTAAGATCCATTCCCAATAAGTTCCTTCTAAAATAGGACGTCTGAAGCTGTACATTTACTTACTGACACTAGTAATATATAAGCAAAATATTTTAAATACTCAAAAAATATTGATGACTTTTTTCATCTTGGAAAACTGATAGAATATGAAAAAAAGTAGAGGGCATATTTCTCATAATTGTAAAAAAATACTTACTATAGTCTTATCGAATAACATAATACCTCGAATATTGGAGAATACAATTAAATAGAAAGTAAATTCAGCAGTTTTCCTGAAGCAAATACTTTGTTTTCTAGTGTTGTATTAAATAAAATTCCTAATCTTTATACTTATTCAAATCTGCTTCCATACATAAAACTGTGGAAAAATCAATCAATTGCAGGAAATTAAACTTACTATGTTTCCAACTTGAATGTATATTAAACTAGAAAACCTAAAATTTTACCATAATACATAGATTGCTACCTTGGAGTTGACTGCAATTTTTACTATTCTATTTTCACCTTATCTCACATGTGTAAAGAAGATCTTCCACCAGGAAACAGATTTGCTATCATAATCTAAGCAAATGGCAGCTTATCAAGCTTAAATGACAAAATCGTAGAAACTTAGAGCACTTTGATAGCGAATCTAAGCCTCTAAGCATAATTTAATATTGCCCATATTGGTTACTATAGTATCTCAGTTTAATATATGTTATCAGATACAATGGATCTTACTAACAAGTGGTAGTTAGCTTAAGATACCTTCATATTAAATATAACTAATGCATGCTCGGACTTGTTTTAAATTTTAGAAAATCCTTAGAATATAACTATCACGCATTACTTAAATAAGGAAATTGTATATTACGATATACCTAAATTGGTACTTGCACCTAATCAAACAGAAATGCAGTAAAACTGCTTTTAATAGAGATTAGTTGTGACAGAAGAATATGGGTGGGCAGATCCTCCTAGTCATTTCAAAATGAATAGATTAGATGAATTTAAGGTAGGAATTTTTGCTAATGACCTTGACTTAATAGGTATGGAAAAATTCCTCTATTATATTGAAATCAGGGCAAATATCGAAAACTTTAGCTAACAAACGACATTAAATTATGAATTATATCTTCATATTAAAGAAGAAATAAAGCCAATATTTTACCCTCCTGAATTGAGTTCTAAAACTTATTAATTGCATGAAAACAGCCCACCATACTTGATTATTCCTTTATCAAGTATAGAAGTAACAGTAGGCAAGTAGGAAATTTTATAACTTAGTAATATTATAGATAGAGAAAAGGACGATTATCTGGTTAAAATAAAATCAAAATAGAGCAAATTATTTTTAGAGGCTACAAATTAGTAAATTATCATTAATCCGATAGAAGCAGTAATAGGAAAACATCAAGTAACTATTCAAATTTAAGATTAGAACAAATATAGCTTGTCTAGTGACTATGATTTCTATATTATTGTAAAACCAGATGTATCCTCTCATTATGAGACTTTGCTAAAAGATTAGGAATTATAATAAATTTACAATAAAACTCAGGAATTTCAAATTATAGGTTATTTAGAGGCTCAAATAAAAAAAATTACAGATACAGGCTAAGTGATTGTCCTTTTCAGCTAAGACCTTAACAGTGACATTAAAAAGTATAAGTTTAAAGTTAAATAAGCCATCTCAATATAAGTAGAGCAATATGGATAAGTTTAAGAGCAAGATTTTGAAGTTATAGATATTTCTCAAAGAGAGCTGATTATTCAAGCGATATTTTCAGACCCTAAAGATATATCAAAGTACTCAGTAAATTTAACTTGAAATAAATATATTTTAGGATTGGGACAAATTGATACTGGAATTTAAAGTTCCTTTTATATTTTACGACTCAACAGATAAATTTATGATGAAAAAAGGATATTAAATAAAAAGACCCATACCTCCACAGATCAGTTAAGGTTTAAGAGATTTGTTAGATAGCATAGGAACAAATACAGTACTAACAGTCTCAAGTATTCTAGGAACTAATTTTCTCTTAAATATACTCATGTAAAATATCTGAATAAATATTGTTAGGTCCTAAAGCATATAATTACTTTGGGGTATGATTAATAGTTTTTAATTGATAACTCATTTACCTTTGATGTCTATCAATACTCCAGCGAATGTGGCTTTATTTTACAGCTTTGTTTTAGATGTTTCTAGCTTCTAGTTTTTTGACATGGAAAAAATAAACTCATTCGTATTTGACTATGATCCTGATAGTTTGAATGATTCAGTGTACAATCCTTATTTTGAAAGATTGGGCTACTCCTCTACTAATTTGATAAGGAATCTTGGACCTATTACATATTTCTACTGTTTTACTCTAATCATGATGATATTAGCTTATTTCTTCAAAATTATATAAGTTCCCACTAGATTGTAAGAATTATGAAGTTATTAGTGTCTAAAGTTACTTATTAGTTGACATTTGAGATAGAGAATAGAGAAATTTCATAAAGGAATACTATATAACTTAATCACAAGATTTATGCTTGAATCTTTGATAGAGCTGATTATTTGTTCAAGTATAAATGATAATGATGTAAATTCTTACAGTTTTATGATTTTAGAGGATTTCGAAATTTGTAGATAAAGCAGCTTATATTTTGTCTGCGCAATTTTTAGGATTATGTACGTTTTTCCCACTGATTGCGATTCTTATAACAAAAATTAGTTACAAAAATTAGTATCTGCATATCAAGCAAAAAGCAAAATTATAGTATTTTAAACCTTTGGTCGAGGGCATTAAGATAGAACATTAGATCTTTAGTACTTTGTAAATTGTTAGAAGAATTATTTATTCCTTGACATTTGTTTTGTTCGATAATGATTAAGGAATCCAGCTCCTATTTCTGATAAATCAAAATATGCTTATGATTATATACCTAACTTATTTCTAGCCTTATGATAGCAAGTCTTCAAACTATTAAGAAATTTTCAATGAAATTATGTTCTAAGTTATTTTGTACACAATGATAATCTTTTCAGATAACTATGAGTTAAACTATGATTTCAAAATGTCTATTGGCTATATACCGATAGTTTTATCCATAATATTTCTATTGGTTAATATATACTTGATATCAGTTTAGAAAATAATCTAGAGCTTGAGAAAACTCAAATGCAAAAAGCAGTTTATGAGTACAAATCAAATATAAAAATTGATTGATTACTCTACTTCTATGTCAATAATTAATGAGGATGATATTGACAGCACTTAAAAAAGTGGTAAGGAATAATTAAGCTTAAAACATCAAGTCATAAGAGAGCCTAAAGTGAGAATTAGAATTAAACAAAGAGGCAAGAGGTAGATTATAAGAAAAGAAAAAAAATAGAATATTAGTTGATAAATTTTAACGATAATAATCGTTAGTTATGAAATTTAAAGACATTTTGGTAAAATTAAAATTTATTGTTCCATACAATGTATCAAAACTAGGCTTTATTTTATTTAATCGCTTAAATGTTAAAATAACTATATTTGACTAACCAGGGGTTTTGGGGTTTTGGGG